AAAGATATTTAACATGGATTTTTTTTTAAAGAAAAGGAAACAACCTAATATGTCCCAAAAGAGGATTGGTTAATAAATTATGGTTCAACTGTATTGGTATGAAGTCGTATCACTAGGCATGAGGTATGGGAGAAATCTTTAACGACACAAAAATATTCATGATATATTAATATTAGAATGTAGTTTATAAAATGTATATACTATATGCTATTAATTTTTTAACAAAAGTTTTTTACACACAATGCATAGAAAAAAAGACTGGAAAGAGCATCCAGTTTTTGGCCTGACATGTAAAGAGCTTAGAACTTGTCACTCCTATTGTAACAAGAAAAAGGCTGAAGGAGCTGAGTATCAACAACTCCTTTTAAATCAATCAGAAAATCAAGGTCATAGGACAAATTGGCCTGTATTTTTTATTCTGAAAACTAGAAAGACAGACAAATACAATCATTGCTGCTGTATTCTGGTAGGAACACTTAAAGGGTAATTCACTAACTGATGGAAAAGGAACATGTTTTTACTTGCTTGAGAAATAAAAACTTCTTTTGTGAGTTTTACCTTCAGAAACCCCACTAGGTTGTTAGGGTAAAGACAGGAGAAAAATTTCTCCCCGCTTCAGGCAGCAGAGGGAAATACCCAACTCCACTAGCCTTCCTGTATAACCTATACTGGTGGGTAGGGGGAGCAAGGCACTTTTTTTTGACTATTTATTATTTTATTTATGTAACTAAAGTGCATACAATTAAAAACACTAAATGTGCCTAGGGAACCTTACTTTATTAAACAATCATAATAACTCAATTCTACAGTGTTATGTTACTAAAACAAAGCTTATTTTCTGTACAAATACATTTACTTATTTTAGTAATATATTTTATTTTTGATTTAATCTTTACTGTATTTTTCTCCATTACTATTTAATATCCTTCCACTCTCCTCCCCCCAGCAATCACCACATTATTGTCCATGTCCATGAGTCCTTTCTCCCTTTTGCAACAGTATGGATGGACCTGGAGAACATTATGCTAAGTGAAATAAGCCAATCAAAGAAAGACAAATATCATATGATCTCACTCATATGTGGAGTCTAATGAAAAATTGAACTAACAAGGAAAATGGGGATAAGCTAGTGGGTGAGTGAGGGAAGTAAGTGGGAATGAAGGGACTGAGCAAAAAGGAGCAAAGCACTTTTGAAGGTCACACAGCTCAGGGACACAGGCTTACTAAAAGACTGAGAGCTAATTGCAGTAGAATGTTTCTCCTCTCCCCCACCCACAATTTACCAGCACATCAATAGGACCCATATATAATAGGAGATTACAGTTAAAAGAGTTGCAAGCCTCAGACATGATTTAAGGAGTATCTAGGAAATCTGAAGAACAAACAGGGGTGGGGAATAAACAGAAACATTAGAGCAACTTTTAGTTTCTGGCACTACAACTATAAAAAAACAGTAAAATTAGCCTATCTCCTAGCTAGAGTAACATGAAAACACACTATTTACTTTAGTTCCTTTTACCCAATACATTATGTCCAAATTTCAACAAAAAATCCAACTACAGTAGGAAAAAAATGAAGAATCAGTACTTGACACAGACATGGCAAATTATTTGGTATTATCATACCAGAAATTTAAAATAACTATGATTAATATGCTAATGACTCTAATGGAAAATTTGGATTATATACAAGAATGCATGGGTAATGTAAACACATAGAAGGAAAGTCTAAGAAAGAATCAAAAGAAATTGCGAGAAATCAGAAACACTGTAACAAAAATGAGGAATGCCTTTTAAAAATACATTTTATTGATTATGCTATTACAGCTGTCCCAATTTTCCCCCCTTTACTCCCCTCTGCCTGGTATCCCCATTCCCTCCAGCATCCCCCTCTCTTAGTTCATATCCATGGATCATGCATATAAGTTTTCTGGCTTCTCCACTTCCTATACTACTTTTGACATCCCCCTGTCTATTTTGTACCTACCAATTTGTACTTCTTTTTTTTTTTTTTGCTTTTTGAGCCTTTTATTATTTATTAGAATGACTTCCAAGTGCAAGGCACTGTTAAAACAATTTGTACTTCTTAATCCCTGCACCTTTCTCCCATTCTCCCTTTTCCCCCTCCCAGCTGATAACCCTCTAAGTGATCTTCATTTCTGTGATTCTGTTCATGTTGTGGTTGTTTGCTTTGTTTTTTTAGGTTCAGTTGTTGGTCGTTGTGAATTTGTCACCCTTTTAAAGTTTGTAGTTTTGATCTTCTTTTTCTTAAATAATTCCCTTTGACATGTCCCACAATAATGGACTAGTGACGATGAACTCCTTTACCTCCACCTTGCCTTGAAAGGACTTTGCCCTTTGATTCTAAATGATAGCTTTGCTGGATAGAGTAATCTAGGTTTTAGGTCCTTGCCTTTCATGAATTTGAATACTTCTTGCCAGTCCCTTCTTGCCTATAAGATTTCTTGTGAAGAATCAGCTGATAGTCTTATGGGAACTCCTTTGCAGGTAACTCTCTGCTTTTCTCTTCCTGCTTTTAAGATTCTCTCTTTATCTTTAATATTTGTCATTTTAATTATGATATGTCTTGATGTGGCCCTCTTTGGGGCCAACTTATTTGGGATTCTCTGTGCTTCCTGGTCTTGTGTCCATACCCTGCACCAAAATTAGCAAATTTTTCTTTCATTATTAAATAGAAATAGTTTTATTTTGTATTTTCCAACATGTGTGCCTTTTACTTCTTTTTCTTACAAGATTTCACTGGCTAGTATCTCCAGGAGTGAAGAAACAGACATTCTTAGATAATTCCCAATCTTAATAAGAAAGCATTGTCTTTTGCCATCAAGTATGATGTTAGCCATAGGATTCTTATAGATGTCCTTTGTCAGGTTGACAAAGGCCCTTTCCTATTTATTAAAAATTTCTGTAATGAACTTATGTACAATATAATCAAGTATTTTCTGCATCTTTTGGAATGATTGCACAGTTCTTCTTCAGTTTATTGATATGTGAATTGCATTGATTGAGTTGTGAGTGTTGAATTAGCCTTTAATTTCCAGAATAAATTCCACTTGCCCATAAAGTGTTATCTTTTGTAATACATTGTTAGATTTAATTTGCTAAACTTTTGTTGAGAATTTTTGTATCTATGTTCATGAGGGATATTGGTATGTACTTTTTTTCCTTATATCTTTATCTGGTGCTAGTATCAATGGAATGATAGTATCAAAGATTCAGTTGGAAGTATACCATCCTCCCCATTTCTTTGAAATGTTTGGTAGAATTTTTTAATTTGCATGTTTTATTTTCATAGTTTTTTATTGTATTTCTTTCCATTACTATTTATCCCCCTTATGCCCTTTTCCACCTCAGCCCATTCCCCTTTCCCCTACTCCACATGTGAGTGAAATCACATGATATTTGTCTTTCTCTGACTGGCTTATTTCACTTAGCATAAGGTTCTCCATTTCTATCCATGCTGTCGCAAAGGGTAGTAGTTCCTTCTTTCTTTCTGCTGTGTAGTATTCCATTTTGTAAATGTATCACAGTTTTTTGATCCATTCATTTACTGATGGGCACTTAGGCTGTTTCCAGCATGTGACTATGGTAAATTGTGCGGCAGAGAACATTGGGGTGCACAGGTTCTTTTGAACTGGTGTTTCAGGATTCTTAGAGTATAATCCCAGCAGTGGAATTGCTGGGTCAAAAGGCAGTTCCATTTTTAGTTTTTGGAGGAGATTCCATATTGTTTTTGACAGTGACTGTACCAGTCTGCATTCCCATTAACATCAGACCATTTTTCTGTTGGATTTGTTGATCCTTTTACTGGTTGATTCTAATAATTAAAAATGTTTCAGATTCAAATACTTCAGTTGTTGGTGATGTCTTCTCCCAGTTTTTTGCTCACCCATCTTTTTTTTATAGTTTCAATTTTGATCATTAGGGAAATGTGTACTGGTGAGTGAGGGAAATTAATGTGTTTGCTACAAGAGGAGTCTTTAGGTTATTTTGGCTTTGTATCATGGGAATCAAGAAGTAGAAGAGGATGGAAGACAAACCACATGGTTTGCAAATTTATTTACCTGTTATTTTTTGATTGCTTACATTTATTGGCCACAGTGTGCTATGCCATATGATTGATAGAGAGTAAAGAAAAAAAAATGTTGCCTACTTTTGAGGACTTTTTACCCTGACAGAAATAAGATGTAAAATAAGAGAAGTAATATAGTATGTGCCCAGGTAACATACTTATGGTCTAAGATAGTCTAAGATAGGCTGTGACTAGCAAAATTTCTCTTTCAGTAAGGGGGAAGAAGATATTACTTTTTAGTTACATGGGGAGTTGTTTATGCAAGAGCAAGTCTATTAAGTTGAATGAGAGCAAGGACTGTGTGTCTTTTTGCTCATCATTTTATCTCTAGTGCTTAGTATAGAGCCTGACAAATAATAGTGCTCAAATACTTGTTTAATTATTGAATGATGTGAACATTTATGGAAAAAGTCATTTATAGGGACCTAACACAATGTATTTAGTCCATCATCCCAATATCACCTAATATCAGGCAACTCTGAGAATGTTCTGATAAATCAGCATTTCAGACATTAGCTTGCTTTTACAAAGCAAGGGAGCACAACCTTTTCCAAAAGAACACATGACGTGGTACTTTCTTTTATCATTATAATATAGCAGTGGTCAAGATGTTGGCTTAACTGTCAGGTAAATGTAGGTTTGAGTCTCATGTCAGTTACTTGCTGGTTATATGACTATTGATTTCCCTCATCTATAAAATGAGACTAATAGTAGTGCCTACCTTACTGGGTCATTGTAGTATCAAATAAACAAAGCATATAAAACACTGGGTCATAGTAGGTGTTCTGTAAATATTTCCTATGCCTCTCCCCTTGATGTACACTAAAGTAGATGGAACTTGTGATTGCTTTTGGATTTTGTGACATGGTCATGTTTTCTAACAGGTATATTCTCCATTACCTTCCTCACAGATTCAGAGACACATTGCATGTTTCAAGACAAGAAATACAGAGTGGGTGAGAGATGGCATCCTTATCTGGAACCATATGGTTTGGTTTACTGTGTGAACTGCATCTGCTCAGAGGTACAATCCCTCATGGGATGCGATTTCCTAGTTTGCTCCCCAGCATGAAAATGTGCTTCAGTGCCCAGATGGCCAGAGACCATGGGCGTTAAAATCCTAAAAGAAGATAAGAAACAGATCACAAGGAAAAAATACACATCTTCCATCTATTTCCTCTGTTGCCTTTTGTTTAATTTTCATGGGATCTCTGAATATTTGCTATAGACATGTATTTATGGTCTCTTAGCCAAATGATATGGGACATGATAGAAGAAGGCAAGTAGTTTGATAGTGGGAGTTGAGGAAAAAGCTCAATATAATGTCCAAATTGTAAGACACAATTGTTTTTTTGGAAACAATTTTTAGGGCTGGCCTTTAGAGAGAAAAATAGTGCACATTATTCACTGATTCATTGAGAGACTGTATTTTATGTTGTCTCAGCCAATAATTATTATTAGGACTGAAGTAGTGAAATCTTGGCCTGTATGTGGTGAAGATTAGAGTTCTTTGGCTTGGCCTTGGCTCCTGTCAAGTACTTTGGAGAAGCATTTGAATAGCTTAAATGCTATGTTTGCAATAGACAATACAGGTAGTCCCATTTTCTTTCCATGGCCTTAACCTAGAACCACAGCTATAGTCCATTTCTCTGAACAGACCTCTACCACCATATTCTGGACCAGTGTTTCTTAACCCTGGCAGTACTGACATTTGGGGACAGATAATTCCTTGTTGTTGGGTCTGCTTTGTGCATTACAGATGTCTAGCACCATCCCTGACTTCTATCTACCAGGCAATAGTAGCACTGACCCTAGTTGTGACAACCAAAAATATCTCCAGACATGACCAAAGCTACTTGGGGAGCAAAATGGGGGAACAGAGTGGACTCCAGCTGAGAACCAGTGCACTAGGCCAATTGGGAAGGGAGGCCTTGTACTGGGCTTTAAGAAGAAAGAATGCTGAACATATATGAAAGAATTTGCAAAACCAGCCTCTCATTTGACACTTCATGGGAGAACTCAACTCTTCATTAGTGCCCAGGTGGAACAGGAGCAGACACTTTTGCCACTTGAACAGAAAATTGGGCTTTCAGAATTTTGAGCGTGTGGAAACCTAGCTTTCAGACAATATCAGGTGGTGTTAAGAGGCTGAAGGCCTCTAGAGTCAAGACAGACTAAGTTTCCAACCCTGGCTTTGCCACCTATGAGTCATATTAAATTGGACAATTTACTTAACATCTCTGAGATTCCTCCAGCTTCTTTAAAATGACATAATGATATTACATATTTCATAGGGTTATAGGAAGGATTAAATGGACTAATTCATTTTAATTACTGAAAACAGTGCTTGGTCACAGTCAACACTGAAGAAATGTTAACTATTATCATCATCATCACTCTCATTATGGTCATTATTATTTTAATTAACTGATTAATTTTAGAACAGAAGAAAGCACTAAGGAGGAATTAGTTAAGACTTCATCCAGGAGGAGTGGTTTCTGATGTGCTTTGATCCAACTTCAAAATGATACCACCTGCTTCTGAGGAGTGTGACACATAAGGGAGGCTCTGTGGTATTTCCAAATGCAACACTCGAAAAATTATTTCTAGAAACTACATGAGAAAAGAAGAAGGTATAAGTGGACCCTGCCTCTTTAAATGACTAGAGGAACTATTGGATAGAGCATCTGGAGACTGCCTAATTGCCTGGTATGGCATAATTATAACAGATTCTTAACCAACACATTGGAAATGGACAGCTAACCTCTGTGGGCTGAGGCTTTGCTGTCTGTAGGACAGTGAAAAATGTTAATGATCCCAGTGCCAACAGCTCAAGTGCTAGGCATCTTTTCTTTCTCTGTACTCTTCATCACCCCCACCCCTCACAACAGCCTGACAGATAAAAGTAACCCTCACTTCAACTGAATTATGAATGGAAAATGTTAATGCAAAACTGATTTCCAAAGTCTTCCACTTTTCTAGGAATGGTTGAAAGCTATCAGAACTAGGGATCTTGTAATTGTAAATTAGGCAGGAACTCAGTTGCCCCACCCAGATATACCAGCTAATCAGTTCAATTCCAAACTCTAGCTTGTTCTCGGAAAAATGTAGACTGAAAAGAGAAATGAAGAAAGAAGGCACTCAACATAATGGACCAAGGCAGGGTTATTTGGAATCTAATATTCATGTGCTAGGGATGTCCCCTTGCCTAGGGGTGGGTAGCAGCTCAAGGGACTCATGGCTTATTATCCCTTCCCTTCCATGGCATTGAGCAGGTAATTATGAAATCAGACTGGGCTCTTGGAAAATATGTGCAGTTAGAGCTGGGGAATGGTAGAAACACCACAGAGCTAAACCAGAAGAAGCCTCCCAAAATTAGTGGAAGGCTTTGAAAACTGAAGTAATAGTGATCCCTGTCTTAGAAAAATATGTCAATAAACTATCAACCAACCCAGCAGATATGCTAATGATGAGAAAAGGAAAGAAAAATGCTGATTTCATTCAGCTTCTCAGGAATGCATTATTTATTGTCTGGGTGAGTCCCTGCATGACTCTTTCCCAAACTGGCATGATGTCATTGACCTTTGAAAGGCATTTGATTTTTTCTTGTTGCCTCCTCTCTTTCAGAATGGAAATGTGCTTTGCAGCCGAGTCAGATGTCCAAGTCTCCATTGCCTCTCTCCTGTGCATGTTCCTCATCTGTGCTGCCCTCGCTGCCCAGGTAAACTGATTTACCTCTTTCTTTCCCAGCTGTGGTTCTTCTTCCTCCCTTTTCCACCCAGCCCACTCCATCTTCTTAATTCCCCAGAAGGGAAACTTCCAGACAGAAATAACAATAGGACACTTTTAGGCAGAACACACTGGCCCCTAAATACTGTTTATAGCCCAGTCAGGGCACATTCTAGGTTCTAATAAGTTATTGGGTACCGAATAACAGATTTTCATTGGGCTTTTAATCATTTGAAGGTGCATGTCAGTTGGGAGAAGAGAACTGAGGTCCAGAGATTTTATTCTGTAAACAGCCTCTTTCTACCACAAGCAGTGTGTATCAGGAGAGTTGTAGCAAGGCAGCAAGTGTCCTATGCAATTAGTGCTGGAATTGCATCTGAGCATAGCTTCTAAATGATGAGGGTCTGTTCATAAATAAAAAGACCTGATCCAGTGAGGTTTATGACAGTATAAAGCTGCCTGCCTGCTGAATAGTCACCTCTTCCAGATGGCAGTTACTATGTAGACATTGTTAAGAGTAAATCTAAGGAGAAGGCAGGCAGAGACTTTTTCACAAGGCTGTTAGGATATCTGCTTTCATGGTTTGTGGTTAGGGTGTTTATCTGAGTCAGGGGCTCCCTTAATGACACTTGGTCCACATCTTACTGGGGCCTGGCTTCCACACCAGAGGCATGTGTGTGCAATGATTCAGAGAATGTTTGTGGGGCCAACAACAGTCCTAGGAGAAGCTAAGGGACAGTCTTGAAAACTGGGAAGCAGAACCCTTACAGTCCTCTTAAGTCTTTTTATGGTCTCCCTCTAGGGAGAAGGTTCTGCAGTTGGGGGTTCATGGATGAGCTTTCTGAGATCAGGGGACCCTTTTAAATTGTAGTCTTTGGTTTAACTACATATGTGTGTAAATTTCTTTAGAGAGGATCCATCACTTTTTTGATATTCCTAAAAGGGCAGGATATGACCATAAAAACATGAAGAACCACTCCTAGTCTAGGGCATAAATGGTACTTTTCTAAGTAGTAAAGAGTGAATTTATAAGAAAAATCAAACATGTTAGGGCAAAAATTATGGGAATGGGGTTAAGAATGAGGTTCAATGAAAAGTCAGTTAACTGAAATGTTGCAGAAATTACTTTTTGTTTAGTGGAAAGAAATTCCCAACCCCTTTTGTCACCACCTTTTTGGAGCAGAGTGAACTTTCCTGGATCAATTAATGCACTCTGATAAACACAAGGGGTTCTTTACCAGATGGCAAAAGATTATGCCATGTCACAGATTTCTGAGTTTTGGCGATGGTAGTATATTCTGCAAGAGGTAAGAGACTGACTCAACATACGAGCTACCTAAAAGTTGTTTTTAGGAATCAATCCCTAAATGAATGAGGCTTACTATTATTTCTGTTTATTTGCTTCTACTCTACTTTAACTGTATTACAGAGGAATGGTATGGGAGGGGTTTGGGTTGATTGGAGCGAAATTTTTGATAAAGAGGATAATCTGGGGAGCTTTTTTACAAAAAATCTGCCAGGTTGATTGTCATACAGCATAAAAGCTGGGGTTTTTCCCCCTAGAAGATTCCAGAAGTGGTCTAAAGTCATAGGAATTTATCTAAACTGATATATAGAGGTTTTTCTTCCCTGGAAAAGAGGTTGAGGTATGAGAGTGGAGTATGGATGTCAATTACCCCAGCTATAAAACAGGAAGCAAGTATTGAGAGAAGGGGAAAGCATAAGCTAGCAATTATTTTGAGAGAAAAATAAAGTATTAAAAATTCAGACCATAAATCCCAGAAAAGAGAAAATTGAAAGAAATAAACACATTGTCTTGAAGACTTACAAGGCCCATTTTATTGAGTATAGAAACCAGCTGTTCACTTTTTTCCCTTTCTTGTTCTTTCAGGTCATTTCCTTGTGAGTTTATTTTTCTTCTTGTTAGCTATAATCTTTAACAGTTCTTCCTGTGGGTAGTGGTACTAAAGTTCCCTAATGCTTATATGCAAAAATGTCTTTATTTTGTCCCCATTCTCAAATGATAATTTTGGTGTAAAATTATAGGTGAATATTTATTTTCCCTCAGCACTTTGCAGATATTAATAAATGGTTTGTTGACTTCCTTTGTTTGTGGATAAGAAGTTTCCTGTTTGATTGTAGTTCTTTTTTATTTCTATTTATTTTTTTATTTTTCTGTGGGGGGTTATTTCTTTTTTTATTGTAGTTCTTTTGTAGGTAACCTGTTTTCCCCTTCTTCTAGATTTTGAGACTCTTTCTCCCTCTCTCTCTCTCTTGTTTTTCTTTTTTGGTGCATACAATGAGGTGCTGTAGCCTGATCAACACATGATATTTTCAGTGAAAGGACTGAAATTTCTTTTTATTTTTAAGTCATTACTTTTGTAAAAATTACCTTTTCACCTTCTATATTTTTCTCATTCTTAAAGTTATCTTTGGACCACCCTGTTAGAACTGTAGCTCTAACAAGGACGTAGTTCTCGCCTGAGCTGCACATCAGAATCACCTAGAGATTTTCACAACTCTGATGCCTGCACCAGGCTCAATGGGAGCTTTCTAGAGGCTCTTAAATTTATGTGGGAGTTTTATCTTCAGCTTCTTCAGATTCCTGTAGGAGCTATGATTAATATTCTGATCTCTGAAGGATGATAGCTTAAGAATATTTTAGAAATTTGGAGAGGAAGATGGCAGTGTGGTAGGAGGGAGCAGATGCCACTTCTCCCTATGCATGGGAGAGAAACTAACTGATCCACGGAGGAACAGATCAAGGGGCCAACAATATCACAACATTTATGAAAATAGGACATCAAAAATTATAGAAGACAATGAAAAACCAAATGGTAAGGAGACTGCTTCAGGATAATAAGGCCCAGGGATCAGCATGGGGACCAGGGAGGTTGCAGCCCCCAGGCCCGGTGCTCCTGGGTCTGCCTCAGGGCACTTGAGAGAGAGAGAGCGGGGTCAACCACTTCCTCCCCAGCCAGACAAGGATTGTGCAGTATCAGAGGAGGCCTTGTTGCTTGAAGGCACAGAGAGGGGAGCGAGGACTGAGAGAAAATCACACAGGGGCAGCAAGCACCCACGCATAGCTCTGGGAAGAGTGTGTGCCCCAGCCTGTGCAACCAAGGGCGGCCTGGCCTTGCGCCTGAACCCCCAAGCCGGAGATAGTGTGGTTTTGTGGAAGACCCAGACCCCGCAGCCCTGAACATAGAAAAGGAATGGGCGTTCATAGGATCCTGGAGCCCTCAGCGGTGAACTCGGGGGAAGTGTGCGCCCCATCCAGATCCCCAGAGCGTACACCGCTTACATGTTTACACCCGGGAAAGATGCGAGTGCTCTACGGGATCCAGGAGCCTGGGAGCCTGAGGTGATAAGCTCCAGAGAACGTGCTTGGGAGCACCCAGACCCACACCCAGGGTACTGCGGAGAGGCACCAGACCGGCTTTGGGAAGAGCACTAGGCTAGCTATGGGGACAGTACTTGAGAGACTGACTGAGTTCTGACTGGGAAGGATGAAAGGCATTCCAGTCGCCACTCAGCCTGCTGAAGTCAGCAAGACCAGAAAAATTGGTTTGATCAGTTAGGAACCAACAAGAGGTTTCTTGTTGCTGTTGTTGTTGTTGTTGTTGTTGTTGTTGTTTGATTATTTGATTTTATCTTTTTTTAAGTAACTTTTTATTTTTTAATTCTTATTATTTGTAAATCTCTCAATTCCTTATGCTTCTCTTCCTTTCATCCTAGTGTTATTACTTCCTTTCCAAATTTCTCTCCTTCATTCCATCTTCTGCTTTTTTCCTTTTTTTTTGAACCTGCAAGTTACTGCAAATTTGTATTATCTTTTTTTCATTATTCTTACATTTTTTATTTTAATAGTATTTCAGTATTCCTCTTCTTTCTATATAGTATTCTTTGTTTGGCTGAATATACTGTATCATTTGATAGCTTTCCTGTGTTATCTCATTCATAATGTATTGCTAATTTACTGTCCTTCATTTGTCTTCCATTAGTACACTACTCAAGGTTCTATACTCCCTATTCTTCTTACCTAGATCTCATAGATTCTGCCATATGATTATTGCTCTAGTATTACTGTAAATAAGACCTATTTCATACCATTGTAAATACTACAAAACACCCCTCCCAGATCTCAGCCCACTTGGTGGTTTCCCAAACTCTATTATTGTAGTGGTTAACTCTATTCTCTTACACACTACACCTATTTAATATTCTTTACTCTAACCCTACCTCAGAATCTGACCTCCCACAGCCTCACTACTTTCTAGATCCAACTCACAAATCTTTCCTCCCCAATTAGACTCTTATCTTCTTTCCATCCTTTCTGAAATGGGCTAGTGGGGTGGAAGATAACCATTAACACCATACACAGCCAAAGGATGTCCTATCTCTTCTCTACTGGCTGCTATTGTAAATATCATAGAATACTCTCCAGGTGTCTTGAAACATTTTGCCTTACTCCTCCAACTGATCAAAAAAAAAGAGTAGGGGGCATCTCTGAACACCAGAATACCCAAAGGAGACTGCACCACTGAATCTCACAGGTATTTTATGACACAAGTTCACACCATAAACCCAGGGAACTAGAACAGATCAATTTAAGAAACAGAGGCTAACAAGAAGAGTCTCACAAACAATAAGAAGACAAAGAAACAATCCCCAAATGAAGGGAAAAGAGGAAGATTCAGAAAGAATGCTAAATGAAATAGAGGCAACTCATCTATCAGATACTAAGTTCAAAAAAATGATTATCAGGAAGCTCAATGAGCTCACAATGAGCTATCGGAAACTACAGGGAAGCTACAACCAAGTCACTGTAAACTATATCAACATGAAAAAGGAAATGGAAACTATCAACAAGGGCCAAGAGGAAATGAAGAATACAATTTCTGAACTGAAGAACACAGTAGAAAGAATGAGAAGCAGGATCGATGAAGTAGAAGATCAGATCAGCGAATTGGAGGACAAAGTAGAAAAGAA